TGTGTGTGTGTGTGTGTGTGTGTATGAGTGTGTGTGTGTGTGTGTGTGTGTCGGTGAGGTAAAGGGGAAAAGCAGGCAGTGGACCAAACCACTGTGAGGCAAGTGAGGGGGGACTCAAAATGTTTCTAAACGTAAAACGCTTTTTTGCGTTTGTATTGTTTTACTACTTACACAATTATTATAAGTTTGTAATGATATTTTTAGTGGGGGACAACCCTCAGATGGGGGGGTCCTGACCCCCGACCCACCCGTGATTTATGCCCCTGACTGATATTATGCCTTTTAAATTCTAATATACTGTAATTCGAATATTGATCATATTTAAGTGCAGAATTCGAATGTAGTTCTGTGATTGTGTCCCGTGCAGAGACGGAGCGTCCCGTGGATCACTGTCAGAGAGGAACACACGACTGCGATGCTCCCGAACGCGCCCGATGCAGCTACACAGGAGACTCGTCTTATATCTGCTTGTGTCTGCCGGGCTTCTCTGGAGACGGACGGGCGTGTCAGGGTAACATCTCACTCACCGCTGAGCGTAAAATACACAGGAAAATGTCTATATGGCTAGTAGCAGTGTTGGGGAGTAACACGACTACTAGCCTATGTGACCCTTGAGCACAAAAGCAGTCATAAGGGTCAATTTTTCGAAATTGAGATTTATGCATCATCTGAAAGATGAATAAAAAAGCTTTCCATTGATGTAAGGTTTGTTAGGATAGAACAATATTTGGCTGAGATGCAACTATTTGAAAATCTGGAATCTGAGGGTGCAAAAAAATCTAAATATTGAGAAAATCATCTTTAAAGTTGTCCAAATGAAGTTCTTAGCAATGCATATTACTAATCAAAAATTAAGTTCTGATATATTTACAGTAGGAGATTTACTAAATATCTTCATGGAACATGATCTTTACTTAATATCCTAATGATTTTTGGCATAAAAGAAAAATGTATAATTGTGACCCATACAATGTATTGTTGGCTATTGCTACAAATATACCCCAGCGACTTAACACTGCTTTTGTGCTCCAGGGTCACATTTATGGGTTACTAGCCGTAACCAAATTATGTAATTTAGTTACATGTAACCACAATCTAGTTACACGTAACTAAATTTGATAATTTAATTACAGAATAAATGTAATTGTAATTAGTTATAGTTGCTGAGAAAAAAATGTGTAATTAAATTAGGCTACAGTTACTTATGAACATGTTAAAGAATACAAAGGTGGTTACATCTGAATATTTTCACACATATACAGATTTGATTGATTTCTTTCATAAATTGCACTGATTGCTCTAAAACATGAGACACCAATGTTTCAGGAGTTTAGGACACGTGCTTATACGTGCATAACTGTTTTATTTCCTATATTTGGGTTTATGTGCATGCTTTATTTTTGTAAGATTAACAGTTTTTTCCAAAGCATTGTTAGATGGCAGTGTTTCCTGTCATAGTTATGCAAATATTTTGATTTCAAAAACAGTATCATTGCTATTAAACTATATCTTATGATTTTAAACCTGTATTTAACCACAGAATGATCTCGAAGTAAACATAGCTGCTAAAGTCTGATTCTGTGGTGGCTGTGCTTTAAAATTAATTTATCATAATCTTAATTCAAGTGAAGAAGGATTCTGAAAGCCTGACAGTAATCAGTGTTGAGTTCTACTGTAAAGTTAACCCTGCCTGCTTTACATGTTCGGAAATGATTAACATTTGAAAACATTTGTTACAAATTTAGAAAAATAATCGAATGTAATCAGATACATTACTTTAATAAAGTCATTGAAATAGTTACACTACTTATTACAGTAACTTGTAATCTGTAACCTATTACATTTCCAAAGTAACTGACTAGTGGCTGTAAATGGATGGTTGCTCTATCTCAGTTTCTGATGGTGAGTTCATATTTTTTCAGGGCCAAATTTAATATTTTCTCAGATGAAAGACAATGCTGCAGCTCTGGTCCAAACCCTAGTGAGCCGCCTATCTAGGCTACATTTCTATACATCACTTTGCTGATATTAAAGACCTCATTCACAGCAGTGTTATTTTAGTATCATTGATATACGGTTATAGTTTTTGTTTATATTTTGAATTAGATTTTACTTTTATATTTTCTGTTTTCACTTAAATTTGAGTTAAAGTTTTAGTAATTTTGTTTTGTTTTCGTCATTTTTATTAATTATTTAAAAATGTCTATATAGTTTTTTATTAATTTTCATTTATAAGTTTTAATTTTATATTTTCTGTTTTTAATTTTAGTTCAAGTTTTTGTAATTTTGTTGTGTGTTTTTGTCATATTATTCATTTGTGTTTTTTAAATGTCTATGTAGTTTTTATCATTTTTATTAGTTTTTTTAATTTTCTGTTTTCAGTTTAGTTTTAATTATAGCAATTTTGTTTTAGTTTTTTTTTCATTTTTATTCATTTGTGTTTTTATATTTTAAGTTTATATTTTCTGCTTTCACTTTAATTTTAAAGATTTAGTACTTTTGTTGTTGTTGTTTTTGTCATTTTGTATGAATTTTTGTTTTTTAAACATATTTATATATTTTTATAAATTGTTATATTTTATTTTTTCTGTTTTCACTTTAACTTTAGTTAAAGTTTTATGAATTTGGTTGTTTTTTTTGTCATTTTTATTGATTTTTTTTTTAATATGTCTGTGGTGTGTATTTTATCTATGTAGTTTATATTAATTTTTATCTATTACTTTTTAATTTATATAATTTCCTTTTTCACTTTAATTTTAGTTAAAGTTTAATTTTAGTTTATTTTAGTAAATTTTAGTCCATTTTAAAAAAAAATGTTTTTACAAAAAAAAAAAAATGTTTTTTTGCAATAACTAGTAAATGTGCGTTCATTATACATTTTCTTTTTATTAATTTCTATGACTTTTAAAAAGTCTAGAAATCACAATTTTAAAACGATTCTTCCTCATATATCCAGGTTTTCCAATCCTGATTCTTTAGAGACAAAAACAGAATTAATTTCTTGAATTAAAAATAAGAAATGTTGATTTTGATTGGTTTTAGATCATTTAAAAGCTCGTTTTGTCTTATTTGAAATTATTTCAGATCAATGGTCCTCCTCCATTCTGGTTTAGATGAAGAAACCTTTGAAGACGTTCGTCAAGTCACCTTTATTTCTATAGTGCTTTATACAAAACAGACTTCACAGTAATAAACAGAGAAACAACATGATTAGTGATGCAAACTGATTCTGAATATGATATAAATTCTAATTCTGCTGTAACTCAGCTCTAAACAGACAATAGTGTGGTTATTCAGTACAGAGAAGCGTCTGTAGGTTTAGTCTCGCAGCAGACAGCGGGGCCCCTGGAGACAGGAAGTGCTGTGATCTGGACAGGAAATGCTCGGCACAGCTGTGTGCATTATTTATCACTTCATGACGGCTGAGGGTCAGACAGATTGCAGTTGGGTCTCACATATTGAGACGCTCCAGCTGTAAGGAAGGGCTGGTGTGTGTTTGTTCGGCCGTGGGAGAGTGATTCACTGCAGGGTGGACATACTTCAGTAATAACACGCAGCAGATGTGCATTCCTTCATATAGAGCTGATTCTGTACATATAGAGCTGTTTGGACATGTAGAACTGAAGTGATTTTCTCACGCAGATACTGATGAGTGCCAGCCGGGCCGTTGCCATAGCGATGCCATCTGCCACAACACCCAGGGCTCCTTCACCTGTCAGTGCCGGCCTGGTTTCCACGGCGATGGCTTCAGCTGCACACCTGGATCCGGTAGGTGTGGTGTGACGCTTATAGGATGCTTTAAAATCAGTGTCAAATTACTTTTTTAACTTCTGCGAGTCTTCTATGAAAACCAGGGCTATTATAATGTTAAGTATAATTCAAACCATAAAAAAAAAAAAAAATGCATTACTTAAAAAAAAATAAACATGAGCTGAAATAAAATCGGATATATTAAAAACTTAAACTTATTTTATTTCAGCAAGTTAAAGTACTAAAATAACTAAAACTAAAACTAATAAAAATGAGAAAGACACAACAAAAAATGACTAAAACTAACCAAAATTAAAATGAAAACAGAAAGTATAAAAATAAAACCCAGTTTAATATATATATGAAAAATTATAAAATGCTAAATAAATAAAAAAAGATTAGTAAAACATTATACTAATAAATAATAGAAAATAATGAAAAACGAATGATTCATAATAACACAAAAAAACATATATTAAGATAATAAATAGAGTCCATTTGGATTTCATGTTGATTTTAATGTTTGTTTGTTTGTTTACTTTTTTCAGGGCCTTTTATGAATTTTTAAGGTTGTATTACTGTTTTCAAAATAAAATTACAAATAGAATAATTTACATACTGTATATATCTTTAAACATATATTATTATTATTATTATTATTATTATTATATTAACTATTAAAACTTACAAAAAATAAAAATAAAAAATATATTTTACTCATAAACTAAAACCTAAAACTTAATATAGACTTATTAAAAAAATGATAATAATAATGAAAATGGCAAAAACACACAGCGAATTACTAAAGCTTTAATAAACATAGAAAATATATATATACAATCTAATTCTAAATCTAAACTATAATAGTATCTCAATGATGAAAATAAGTATATTTTTCTTCAGAATAACATGCACTGATGAAAGTCCACCAGATACTATGATTTGTTTGATTAAAATAAGTATTACAAATTATAAAATAATAAATAAAAAGTATTTAAAAATGTATACTTTTTTTTAAAATTAATAACAATTCTATTAAAAATGAATGAATCATTCACAATAAGACCAAACACACATATTTAGATGAAGATTTAAATGAAACTTTAAATGACTTTAAAGCACACAAGGATGCTGTTTCTTCATTTTTGTCGTTCATTGCCTCAGTTTCTCTCTCCCACACTTTTTCCAGCATCTGTTCTTTGGCGATGGTCAGATAAGAAGCACTCATTGTAATTTGTCTGAGTATTTTCCTTCCTCTTCGTCTGGGGTTTTGCTCGGCCTGGTTTACATTATCATATGGTTCTCATACAGAGGAATGTGTCTGCAGTCTCTGCTTTCTCTGTTTTATATACTGCACTGATCATCTGGAGAAACATTCAAGCTCACAGCTCCTTCACACTGACAGTCATGTAATATTCCCCTGCTCACTTGTGATTAAAAAAATAGATGAATGTCAGATGACTCTCAAAACCATGTGCAGGTTATATATAACCACAAAAATTCATATAAAATACAGTTAATTAAGCAAAAATGCTGTAAAATTGTGAAATATTATTGCTATTTAAAACAACTGTTTTCTATGTGAATATCTGTTAAAATGTAATTTATTTCTGTGATGCGCAGCTGAATTACTGCAGTCTTCAGTGTCACATGATCTTCAGAAATCATTCTAATATGCTGATTTATTATCAGTGCTGTATTTTTTTGGAAGCTGTGATACTTTTTTCAGGATTCTTTGATGAATAGAAAGTTAAAAAGAAGAGCATTTATTTAAAATAGAAATCTTTTCGATATACATTACCGTTCAAAAGTTTGGGGTCAGTACATTTTTATTATTTCTTTTTTTTGAAAGAAATTAAAACTTTTATTCTGCAAGGATGTGTTAAATTGTTAAGAAGTGATAGCAAAGATTTATATTGTTAGAAAAGTTTTGTATTTTGAATAAATGCTGTTCTTTTAAACTTTCTATTCATCGAAGAATCCTGAAAAAGTATCTTTCCAAAAAAAAAATATTGTGCAGCACAACTGTTGATAATTCTAATAATAAATCAGCATATTAGAATGATTTCTGAAGATCATGAGACACTTTATACTGGAGTAATGGCTGATGGAAATTCAGCTTTGCATCACAGAAATAATTTATATTTTAAAGGATATTAAAATAGAAACCATTATTTTATATTGTAATAACATTTTGCAAGATTACTGTTTTTTTCTGTATTTTTGATCAAATAAACGCAGCCTTGATGAGAATAAGAGACTTCTTTAAAAACATTACAAGTCTTACTGATCCCAAACTTTTGAACGGCAGTGTATATATATATATATACTGATTTTAAAATCAATTTTTTAGCACAAATTAACTTAGAAAAAAATCTTATTGATCTTAAAATTAGGTTTTATTTTCTTTACGCAAAATATATAATTACCGATTGTTTTTTTATTTCATGAAATATCATTTATTAATCACAGATGCCTCATTGAGTTTTCCCGAATCGCTGAACTCTTGCTCTGTTCAGTCGTGTTAAACTGAGGCTCGTACTTCTGCAGAATTCCCCTGCGGCGAATATTTCCCAGCACTTTAGTGAGTCTGTTTCTGTCTGTGAGCGTTTGACAAGCGGGACGTGTTCTCCTAATTTGAGGGCAGTGATAATTACGGCCCGACACATTCGTGCTTGCTTTAAGCGTCACAAGTCCTTCTGTTTGTCTCTCTTTGTGTTCAGAAACGTCTCGTCCTCTCGATGAGGAAATGAGGAGGAACTCATTGTTACATTGTTGCACATTTCTTAAAGGCACAGCAGCAAAAAACAGCCTGTTTAGTTGTAAGTGCTGAGGAGACGGAGGAAAGCAATAGATAAAAACGACTTTTTGACCATTTTTGGGATAAAAGCATGGCTAATATTATAAGTGAACCTCAGGGGGGAAAAAAATATTATGTATATGAGTTCATTATGATTTATGAATTATGATTCATTCGTTTATTAGAGCCTTTCTAGGATTTTTAAGATTGTAATAATGAAAGTAATCCTGTCCAGATACAATGATTAAAATTCAATTAGAGATTTAACTGTAGTTAAAAAATCTTCCTGTACAGATACAATTTTAATTTTATAATTGTAATTAGTTATACTGTATATGTAATAAAAATAATTATGCATGAATTGAATTCAGCACAACACATGCTGCTGCTGTGTAAATAATGTAGGCCAGGATTTTGAGTAAATGTTAAAAATGATAAAATAATAAATATGTAAAAATAATAAATAAAAGTTATAATAATAAATAATAAAAAATAAATAAAAAATGAATTGTTCACAATATATTAAGACATTTGTATTTCATGTTGTTGTTAAAGTTTGTTTGTTTTTATTTATTTATTTTTAAGACCTTTTTAGGATTTTTAAGACTGTGATATTATAATGAAAATCATCCTTTCCAGATACAATGATTAAAATAAAATAAAATTAAAATTAAAATAATTTTGCATTAATTAAATTCAGTACAACACATGCTGCTGTGTAAATAATGTCGAAATAATGTGTTTTTTCTTCAGAATAATGTGTGCTGATGAATGTCAGCAGATGGAATTATTTTTTTTTAATGAAAGTAAATATAAAACATTATAAAATAATAAATATATAAAAATAAAAATTCTAATAAAAATTAAATAAAAAATTAATCACTCACAATAAGACCAAAAACATACATTAAGATTTTGTGTGTTTATTTATTTATTTTTATTTAAATTTTTATGGCCTTTTTAGGATTTTAAGACTGTAATAATGAAATAATGAAAATGATCCTGTCCAGATACAATGATTAAAATTAAATTAAAATAATTCAGCATTAATTAAACGGAGCACAGCAAATGCTGCTCTGATTTATACTTACAGTTGTACTTTTTTTGCATTACAGTAATGTAGCCTCCTTACTGTTTTTCCCAACACATTCATAATCTGTGGCAATCTTTATGCATGCGCTTAAGCTCTTATTAGGCTGTGTAGGCAATGAAAGGCTCATTATTATGATTTAAATGGGTTATTAATAAACGTGCAATTAGTCGACTAATGCTTCAAATGAACGACTACTAGTCGACCAGAAAAATCTGTAGTGGAGGGCAGCCCTAATAAAGAGATTTGTGATGATCTGTTTGCTGCAGATGAAGAGCAGACGGCGTGTGAGCGTCACAGAGAAGCAGCTCAGGCCTCGTCCTCTTCCTCGGGCGGATACTTCTTCTTCCGTCCGCGTCCGGCCGTCGGTCAGTATGTGCCCAGCTGTGACGCTTACGGTGCTTACGAACCCCTGCAGTGTGACGCCAGCGTGGGTCAGTGCTGGTGCGTCGACCCGTCCGGACAGGAGCTTCCCGGATCCAGAGCCCAACCGAGCAGCAGACCCATGTGTAAGAGCATACACACTGCACCTTTAGATCAGGCTACACTTGCTACATTTTCCACTTTTTCTTTTGAAAATGTGTTACTTTTTTTTTTTTAAATGTGTTACTTTTTTTTTTTTTTTTGTTACTTTTTTTTTTTTATGTGTTACTTTTTTTTAAATAGTTGCAATACTGTTTATAAAATGTATAGTTTGTGAAATTTCAGGAAAAAAAATATGTTTTCATACTTAATTAAATTTTTTGTAATGTGTAAGAACTATTAATGTTAAAGGTTTGGTTTTATTGGTTTTTCACATAAGTGAAAATTTTCACGTTTTGCACATAAGTCACATAAAAAGGCTGAATATTGTTGTATTATTAAGGATTCTGATGACAAATGATTTTGTCAGCCAAACCCTTTTTACCTAAAATATTTTATCTTTTTAGTAAATGTTGATTTTTTTTTTTATCTTTATTTGTTATGTTTTAATTTTTAATTTTTATGATTTAATTAATTTGCAATAAATGTTTTTTTTTTAAGATTTGTTTTTGAATTTTTTTATTTATTTTAATAAATATATTACAAATATTATATATCATTTAATGCAATTGTTATTTTTTTATTTATTTTTGTTTTATTTCGATTTTTTTATTTGGAAATTTTAAATGATTATTATTTTTTTTATTTTAGTTTGACATTTAACCCTAACTCTTTTCATAGGTATTGATCACAATGTGGCTCCGCCCCTCATTGGCCCCACCCCCAGAACTGACATCAGTCCTCTGACTCCTGGAGCAAACCTCTTATTTGCCCAAAGCGGCAAGATCGATCACATCCCGCTGGATGGCAACCGGATGATCAAAGACGAGTCGAGGACCGTTCTGCACGTACCTGTGAGTTAATTACCGTTAATTACTCTCATTCTGACGAACTTCTCATTTACACTGCTGCTACAACAGCTTCTGTGAGAATGTTAGACACACATACTGGCCCCAAAACATATTTGTAAACTCACACTTAAATTATAAATTGATATTTATTTATTTATATTTGTTACATTTTATTTATTTATTCATTTTCATGTATTTATTTATTGCTACATTTTACATTTTTGCATTCATTTATTTGTTTAGATTTTGCTACATTTTAACCTTTTTAATTTAACTATTTATTTAAATGTTGCTACATATTTTACATTTTTCATTTAAGTAACTAATAATTTAAAAAAATGAAAAGGTTAAAATGTAGCAAAATCTAAATAAATAATTTATTTATTCATTCATTCATTTTATTTTGCTACATTTGAACCTTTTTTCATTTTTACATTCATTTAGATTTTGCAAAATTTTAACTTTTTAATTTTTACATTTATTTATTAAATTATTTAGATTTTGCTACATTTGAACCTTTTTAAATTTTTGCGTTCATTTAGATTTTGCCACATTTGACCCTTTTTAATTTTTTAAAATTATTTATTAATTTATTTATTCAGTCATTTATATTTTTCTACATTTTAACTTTAAAATTTTTACATTGATTTATTTATTTAATTATTTAGATTTTATTTTATATTTTGCTACATTTTAACCTTGCTAAATTTGATCCTTTTTAATTTTTAAAATTATTAATTGATTAATTTATTAATTTATTTATTCTTTTATATTTTGCTACATTTGAACCTTTTTTGCCATGAAAATAGCCTTATTAGCTGGCATGTTGTTAAATTATAAACAAACAAACAAGCATAAAAAATGAAGTCACACTTAAATTGCACACAAAATATAAAAGCAAGTGTCATTTCTGTAAATAAAGATGCACAAACATTTTACAACAAAATGTTTTTACAGACAGAAGTTCGTTGGGTTTGAAATGCTAAAACAATAGATGTTTTGTTGAAGAAAAAGATGGTCAGACATTCATTTTAGTTTCTTGGAGCCACTATATGATGGAAAATTGTTTCTAAATGGATCCAGAAACTGTCAAATTCACTAATTACACATAATCGGCACTGAAATATGACAAAACCTCAATTTACTGCTCTTGCAACCACAGACAGACACGGTCTTCAGTCATGAGTCAGTCTGACACATTCCAGCAGGAAAACTAGTAAACAAGGCATGATTTTGCTCGTCTTTGATTGACCGTCATGTGTGGGATGTTTGAGATTCAAACTGACCGCTATAAAAATATATATATTTTTAAAATTCTACAATTTAAAGGGTTAGTTCACCCAAACATGAAAATTAGCCCATAAATTACTCACCCCCGAGGCATCCTAGGTGTATATGACTTTCTTCTTTCAGACGAATCCAGTCGGAGGTATATTAAAAATTGTCTTTGATCTTTCAAGCCGTTTCATGGCACTCAGCGGGTGTTGCATTGCTTCAGTCCAAAAGAAGTTAAATAAAAAGCGCCCATCCATAAAAAAAGTGTCTCATGACAATTTTTTATATAACTCCGACTGGATTCGTCTGAAAGAAGAAAGTCATATACACCTAGGATGCATCGGGGGTGAGTAATTTATGGGCTAATTTTCATTTTTGTGTGAACTAACCCTTTAACCTTTCTATTTTTAAAATGAGTTTTAAAATAATTAAAATTTCGCTATATTTTAAGCTTAATTTTTTTAACATTTTTGCATTTTGCTACATTTTAACCGTATTCATTCATTCTTCATATTTTGCTACATTTTAACCTTTATATATATTTTATGTATTTATTTATAATTATCTATATTTTAACCTTTTAAATTTTTTACATGTATTTATTTATTTGTATGTAGCTACATTTTTACCTTTTTAATTAATTAATTAATATTTGCTTCATTTTAACCGTTTAAATTTTTAAAATTATTTATTTATTTATGTATTTATTTATATTTTGCTTAATTTTAACTGTATGTATTTGTTTGTTTGTTTATTTATTCAGTCATTCATTTATATTTTGCTACATTTGAACCTTTTTTTTGCTACATTTTAACTTAAATTCCTATATATATATATATATATATATATAGCTACATTTTTTTTTATTTTTAGATTAATTTAATTAATTCATATTTTCTTCATTTAAAACATTTTTAAAAAATTAATTATTTTTTTTATTTAACCTATTTATTTATGTACATTTTAACAATTTTTGCCATGAAAATAGCCATGGTAGCTGGCATAGCATTAAATTATAATCAAACAAACAAGAATGTAAAATGACTTTTTACTGCAAATGAACTTGTGCGAGTGTGAATACTTTTGTTCCTTACAGCATCATGTTTCGTGGGCTGTTGCTGCTTCTGTTGTTTTGCTGTTCTGCATCTCATGCATCTGTTGGTCTTGTGTTGACGTCTGCAGGGTAAAGTGGTGATCGCGCTGGCGTTCGACTGCGTGGAGCAGATGATCTTCTGGTCTGAAATCACTCAGCCCTCCATCAGCAGAGCGAAGCTGCAGGGAGGAGAAACCTCGGTCCTCGTCGCTAAAGGTGAGCGACTCTCTAATACTGATTCACAATCACACTACAATACCTGAATGCCCTGACGCTTTCATCACCTCAACCCCTTTCACCTAAAATATTTACCATTTAGATTGTTAGTTATTTACTGAAATGCTATGTTTACTGAGATTTTAAGTTATCGTAATAATCTAACAACAACTATAATTTAACAACACATTTGCACATTCACGGTTCTCTGATGTCGGTTTATTATATTTTTATGATTTATTTGTAGTAAGCTTTTTATTGTGATTGTTTTTATTTTTAAATTATTTATTTATTATAGTATAACATTTTTATGATATAATTGTTGTAGTGTTTTATTTAGATTGTGTTCTTTTTAATTATGTATTTATTTTAATTTCGCATTTTTATGGTTTAATTTTTAACTAGTGTCTTATTTTTATTGTTTTTATTTAAAAATTGTTTTTATTTAATTTTTTATTGTTTTATAATTTATCGTTTTTTTATTTTAAAGTGTTTTACTTTGAAGTGTTTTTCTTTTAAAATGATTTATTTTAATTTTAAATTTTTATGATTTAATAAATTTTTAGCAATTAATTATTAGATTTCAATCAGCTCATTCATGAACCCCAGCTTGGGAAACCCTGTGATAAATAAAAAATATTAAATAAATGCCACCTGCTTTGATCGTTTATTTAATGTAATGACATTCAGACAAAATGTTACTTCAAAAAATTCTTTGCAACATTTGTTTTGTTTTTTGAAACATATCAAGCTCTAGTTATGGATATTTCTGTGAGCAGATCTGGGCAGCCCTGAAGGAATCGCCATCGATCACATGTCCAGAAACATGTACTGGACCGACTCCATACTGGACCGCATCGAGGTGTCCAGACTAGACGGCAGTCAGCGGCGCCTCGTCTTTGACAGTGACCTTATCAACCCGCGACCGATCGTCGCTGACCCCGCCTACGGGTACGTGTGCGTTTGATCACGCCGCTCTGAAGAAAACACACACATATGTGACCCTGGACCACAAAACCAGTAATGAGGGTCAATTTTGTGAAATTGAGATTTATACATCATCTGAAAGCTGAATAAATAATCTTTCCATTGATGTATGGTTTGTTAGGATAGGACAATATTTGGCTGAGATACAACTATTTGAAAATCTGGAATCTGAGGGTGCAAAAAAATCTAAATATTGAGAAAATCATCTTTAAAGTTGTCCAAATGAAGTTCTTAACAATGCATACTACTAATCAAAAATTACGTTTTGATATATTTACGGTAGGACGTACCATGATCTTTAATTAACCCTTGCTTCTCTTTGTTTTTTAAGACCTATTTTAGCAGTCAGCATCAAGTGCCATATATCATTATAAACAGGAGAACTTGAAGTTTCAGTCTAGCTCATTTAAAGTCCCAGTTTTCCCTTTGTTTTCTCTTGGAATGAATGAATTTCCAGAATTTTAAGAAAAACGCAAGCAATAATTGGGTGTTTTTTACTATCTACTCAAACGGAAACTCCTGAAGTTTGGATTTTTTTCTTTAGAGAGTTGTATCTGGGTGTTTTACTCTTCCAAATAAAATTTGGTCTACATATAACATTCCCCAAGCAAGTTATAGCCATTTATTACAATATGGTTATAGGCGCTTTTCAGTGAAAAACAGAGCCATATTTAGTTTACTAACAATATAGATGTGTCCAAAAACATTTAGGGAGCAAAGAAAATGGAAACTGTGTTATATAATAACAAAATACAGTAAAAAAAGTGACTTTTTTTTCCCAGAAAAATATATTTTTAATCCGAGTATGAGCAACAAACACAAACAGTGCAGCAAGTTGCCTTGTGCAACAAAAATACAAGCAGTGCAAATGATTCACAAACTAGACACAAAATGGGAGGGAAATATACAGAGTGCAAGAGAAAAAATAGTGCATGAACTATATAAGTATTATTTACATGATATAACAGCCAAATGGATCGATCCGCTGGCTGTACTCTGCGTCAGAGTCAATTTAACCGGGACATAAATTCCAGTGCTTTATCCGATATGTACCGCTGTTGCATCCTTGTTTTTGGTTTGTTTTATTCCAAAGTGCTCTGTCCTGTGTTTTTCTGGGCTTTTTCAGAGAGTGCTCTCATGCAAATGTGTTATTTTGTGTTTGTTTACATGCACGCACGACACACTTTACTTTCACTTTGCGTTTGCTCAAATTTCCAAAGAAACATGCTAAATGATGGTTCAAAAGACCAAAACCTATGTTAATTGGTTGAATATGAGACCGTTTGAACCAATCTGGGCGCGGGGGTGGGACTAAGCGTCAACAATCGTTCCTGTTTGGCTCAGAGGAAAGAAATGCATTGGTTTCTTCTGACGAATCAATGTTGTCAAAATGTGACGACGTAATCACGTGCGCTACGGAGTCCCTGAATATCCAAATCTCTGCTTTACGACACTTTTTAAAGCATTCAGATAGGATTAGCGGTTCAAAGCTTATAAAAGCAATAAGACCAGTGAAGCCGTGGTTTACAGTGAATTTATAACAGCTAAGGGGCGTTGTTAGGCATGACCCCCTTAGCTGTTATAAATTCACTGTAAACCACGGCTTCACGGGGCTTATTGCTTTTATAAAACGGTTATTCCATATACGTAGTAAGGTTTCACAAAATAAAACAGAGCAAATAAAGTGTAATGATATTAATAAAAACAGTATTCTTCCACCAAACAATGTAGTTCCTCAGAAACAGTTGTGGTTGCAACAAAGTGGTTGCCGAGCAACACACAGAAGTAAACAAAGGTGTGTGTTTGTAGAGTAATTTACAACAGCTTCGAACGTGGCTCAGCCAATCAGAATCAAGGACCGGAACTCTCCGTTTTATAATAAACATATAAGAACAATAGTTATTTTTAGCCGCGGTCGGCTGTCTCGGTCTTTGACGGTTAATATCCTAATGATTTTTGGCATAAAAGAAAAATGGATAATTTTGATCCATACAATGTATTTTTGGCTATTGCTACAAATATACCCCAGCGACTTAAGACTGCTTTTGTGCTCCAGGGTCACATATATGACACACGTCTCTGTTCTCCAGATACCTGTACTGGTCCGACTGGAACCGAGACGGGCCCAAGATCGAGCGCTCCGGTTTGGACGGCAGCGACAGGACAGTGCTGGTGCAGGATGGGCTGGGGCTGCCCAACGCTCTGACCTTTGACCCCCAGAGCAAGCAGCTCTGCTGGGCAGACGCAGGTCAGCTTCACATTCATTAAGCAACATCAATCATGATTCACGTTTGGTTATTATTGTTGAAACATGAGGAATGCCACTGATAAATCATTCACAATCAGGCCAGAAGCATGACTTTTCTGTTGCAGTGCATAGAAGCATTTTATTTTGAATGTTTTATTTTTTATATGATTTGTTTTTTTAAATGTTACCCTTTTCAATGGCTTAATTCATTTTTAGTAAGTGTTTTATTTTGATTGTTTTTATTTTTTTTATTATTTATTTAAATAATTTGTGTATTTTATTTATTTTAGTATTTTATTTTTATGTATTTTTATTTTTATATTGATTTATTTATTTAAATTTTATATTCATGATTTAATTCATTTTAGTGTTTTATTTAGATTTTTATTATTTATTCATTTTAAATGTACATTTTTGATGATTTAATAATTTTTAGTAAGTGCTTTATTTGGATAATTTTTTAAAATAATTTATTTATTTTAATTCCAAATTTTCTATTAGATTTTTAATGAGTTATACATTTTTATTTATTTTAATTTGACATTTTATGATTTTATTCATTTTATATTTGTGATTTAATTCATTTTAGTGAGTGTTTTATTTAGATTTTTAAAAAATGATTTATTCATTTTAAATGTACATTTTTGATGATTTAATAATTTTTAGTAAGTGCTTTATTTGGATAATTTTTAAAAATTTTTATTTATTTTAATTTGACATTTTATGATTTTATTCATTTTTTGTAAGTGTTTCATTTTAATTATATATTTATTTTAATATCACATTTTTATGATTTAATTAATTTTAGAAAGGGTTTATTTTGATTATGTTTATTTTTAAATAATTTATTTTAATTTAACATTTTTTATGACAGTTTTTATTTTGGTTGTTTTTTGAATTCTTTATTTTATTTGGGCATTTTATGGTTTTAAGTGTTTTATTTTGACAATTATTCATTTATTTAAATTTTACAGTTTTATGACTCTATGATGCAGGTCAGCTTCATATTTATTTAGCAACATAAATCATCAAGCACTTTTAATACAGTAGTGGCTATTGTTGTTGAAAGATTATGAAGGTATTCTCTTTCTTTACAATAACATCACTGATGAATCATTCACAATCAGGCCAGAAGCATGACTTTTCTTTTGCATTCTTCTCTCTGTTGAATCCTGGTAATGTGTGTGTGTGTGTGTGTGTTTCAGGAACCCGTAAGGTGGAGTGTGTCGATCCGTTCTCTCGTCTCAGGAGGACACTGACCGAAGGGATTCAGTATCCGTTCGCCGTCGTGTCTTACGGCAGAAACCTCTACTACACCGACTGGAGAAGGTACGGCACGTTTGGTTTTACTTCAGAGCCGTCTGATTTGCAAACAAATGACTCTCATGAACCAGTTCTTATAATGAATCGATTCAAACGAATCAGAATGAATCAGTCTAAAGTGGTTTCTGAATTAACATCTGACTCAGTGATTGGATGTTTATATGACAACGTGTAGTTAAATATGGACATTCACAAAATATATTTATTGTAATAAATGATTTTAATTAGACATTAAAACATTAAAATATATTACTACAATAAACAGGTCTTTCTCCCTGACTGCAAAATCTGGATTTCTATGTTGGATAATATGACTTAAATTCAGATTTGACCAGCTTCACACAGATCTTGGAAATGTGTGTTAGTTAGTGATTCATTTCAATTTGACGTTTTTGATTAAATTAATTTTTAGTAAGTATCTTGCTTTGATTTGTTTTTATTTTTAAATGATTTATTTTCATTTAAAATATTTCTGATTTAATTTTTAATAAGAGTTTTATTTTGATTGTATTCATTTAAAAGTTTATTATATATATTTTTTATGATTAAATTTTTATGTCTTATTTTGATGATTTTATTTAGTTTGTAACATAATTGTTTTTTTTATTTTCATTGAAAATTTTGATTTTACATATTTCATTAATTTTTAGTAAGTGCCTTATTTTTATTTGTTTTTCTTTTTAAATAATTTATTTTAATTTGATATTTTTATGATTACATTTTTTATATAAACGTTTTTATTGTTTTTATTTTTTAAAGATTTGTTTGTTTTCATTTTACGAAACCAAAGTTAGTTGTTGGTTAGTGTTTTATTTTTATTGTTTTTATTTTTATTTTATTTTACATTTTTCATCATTTAATTTTATAATTTATAATAAAAATTTTATTTAAAAATATTTTTTTTATTTTACATTTTAATTAGTTAGTTGTTATTTAGTTAGTTGCTTGTTTTTATTTTTATGATTGATTTATTTTAATTGAACATTTTTTACTTCATGTTTAGTAAGTGTTTTATTTTACAATAATTTATTTATTTGATTTGTCACTAGGGAAGCAGTGGTTGCTATGGACCGTCATGATGGGATGGAGGTGGAGGAGTTTCTTCCTCAGAGACGTTCACGTACATACGGCATCGCTATGACTTACCCACAATGCCCTGCAGGTCTGAGCTCAGGCTACTCTCATCGTAAACGACTGTCATTTCTGAACTCATTTTAATCCCATGACTGTGGTCCGCAGGCGTGAACTACTGCTCTCGTGATAACGGAGGCTGCTCTCATCTCTGTCTGCCGCGGCCGGGCGGATTCACCTGCCGCTGTCCCGACGCCAGAGACGGCTCGTGTGTCGAACGGGACGAGAATTTCTGAGAGACACTGAGGACTGAAGAGGGAATGACTTGTGTTCCTTCCGCTCGGATCAAGATAATCAATACAGTAGGGATGCACTAGATTCATATCGCATCTGCCACTATCAGTGTTCTTCGTCATTCTGTCAGTCTGATGAGGGTGATAACAGACGCAGATAATATCAGGGATTGACTTTCTTCAGTCTTTCAACAGTAATGAACAGTTCAGTATGGAAGCTTGTTTACACCACGGAATAAAAAAATAAGAAAGGTAATTGCGACTTTTCTCGCAGTTGTAAGTTTACATCGCAAAATTCTGACTTTTTTATTGGAACTCGGAGTTTACTTTTCAAAATTCTGACTTTTTTTATCGAAATTCTGAGTTTACCTTTCGCAATTCTGACTTTTTTTTCAGAATTCAGAGTTTACTTTTCACCATTTTGACTTTTTTATTGTAATTCGGAGTTTACTTTTTCGCAATTCTTATTTTTTTTTAATTGAATTCGGAGTTTACTTTTCACAATTCTGACTTTTTTATTGGAACTCTGAGTTTACTTTTCAAAATTCTGACTTTTTTATTGGAACTCTGAGTTTACTTTTCAAAATTCTGACTTTTTTATTGGAACTCTGAGTTTACTTTTTTGTAATTCTGACTTTTTTATTGGAACTCGGAGTTTACTTTTCAAAATTCTAACTTTTTAATCAAAATTCTGAGTTTACCTTTTTCGTAATTCTGACTTTTTTAAAATCAAAATTCTGAGTTTACTTTTTTGTAATTCTGACTTTTTTTAATCAAAATTCTGAGTTTACCTTTCGCAATTCTGACTTTTTTATTGGAACTCTGAGTTTACTTTTCAAAATTTCTGACTTTTTTATTGGAACTCGGAGTTTACTTTTCAAAATTCTAACTTTTTTATTGTAATTCGGAGTTTACTTTTCAAAATTCTTATTTTTTTTTAATTGAATTCGGAGTTTACTTTTCACAATTCTGAATTTTTTATTGGAATTCAGAGTTTTCTTTCGCATTTCTGACTTTATCGAAATTCTGAGTTTACTTTTTGCAATTTTACATTTCTTTTATCAGAATTCAGAGTTTACTTTTCACCATTTTGACTTTTTTATTGTAATTTGGAGTTTACTTTTTGCGATTCTGACTTTTCTCCCCCTCAGAATTCTGAGTTTATATCATGCAATTCTGTTTTTGTTTTGTTTTGTTTTGTTTCCGACATTAAAATGATAATTGCGACTTTTTTGCTCAATTTTTACTTTGTTTTGTGAGTTTATATCTTGCAGTTCTGACTTTTTTATCGGAATCCTGAGTTTCCATCTCACAATTCTTTTTTTCCCACCACAGAATAAAAAATATTAAAAAGGCAGCTGCGACTTTATTCTCAAAATTGCGAATGTATAGCTCACAATTCTGAGTTTATAATTTGCAATTCTTAGAAATATTTATATTTCAGAACTGTGAGATAAAAAAAATCATAGTAACCTTTAGTTTTTAATCTACAGTATATGGCAGAAACAAGCTTCCATAGTTCTCCATAATTTCTACTGCACATTTATATTTTTCGATGTATTTTACTTTTCGCATAAAAAATTCTATATTGCATCTCTACTGTTAACCTTTTTTAAAGCAGGTAAAATATGAAATATGTATAATATCAGCAATTATATTGATAATTGTTAATAAAAAATATCAGTTGTCTGTATTAGCGTTTAACCGTCATAACATTTAGATTTTTATTTATATGTTTATATATATAATGTAAAATTAATTAAATGAAACAATATTTAAACACAAATATGCATTTATAAAGCTGTTTATCATTTTAAATGTCTGTATTGGTGCATCCCTACTAAAACCACTTGAAAACATGAATCTGAATCCATCTTCACAGTTTAGCTTATAGTTAGATAAATAAATATAATTTTTTATTGTAGCTGTCCTTCAGCTCTTGGGCTGCTGGGATACATTTATACTATGTGTGAGGGGAGGGTTGCATTCTGGGAATCATTCTGATTTAGGTAAAATATTACTTACAATTATATTTTAATCTGACTTTTAAAATGCCAGATGAAGATTTTCTTTTTGTTTATTGTAAATATCAAAACTACATCATCTTTATGGGCACTGTATTTCCTCTCTGGTGCTCGGGGGCCCGTTTTAGGCCGTTTTATGTGACGTTTACACTCAGACAGTCCATCTGGACGAGAGCCTCCTATGGGAAATCACACGATTTGTTTACACACTGCATGATGGGAAGGCGGGCCGCTGTGGAAACAGCTGGACAGAGGAAGAAGGAAGAGAGAGACTGTGTTTTGTACAGCTGTTCAATTAAAACACATTTTTTTAAGAGGTTCGAGTTTGTTGTGTTTTATTCCTCCAGTCACATTCTTCAAATCAGACTCGCATGGAAACATGAGAAATTGGCCTTTTAACTTATAAAAAAATGCAACTTACAGGTGGATCTGATAGCTATGTTTATTTTTGGCAAGTTTCTGTGCATTTCAGACATTTTAACAAACCGGTTGTATGATCTGTGTTTCCTGCTTTAGATTTTCAGACACCAGCAGATGTTTGACTTCACGCAGAGCTCTAAATGATCCGGTCTGTGGTACACACATGGGGCTATACGAGTTCACATAAGACATTTGGAAACGATTCATATGGTACAATAATAAATCAAGTATGTAAAAGACCGATTCTTTTTATTATTTTTAGCTACACTATGTAATCAGAATCAGAATCTTTATTGTCATTATACATAAAGTACAAGGAAATTATGTGCAATCCTATTTCAGAGCAAAAATAAGGTTTACAGTTAAAACAACCACTAAAATAAATAAATAAATAAAGACCAATAGGCCTATGTGTATATATGTAAGCAAACCATAGACTGTATAAAAACATGGACGTAGTGTCCGTGACGTCACCCGTAGGTTCCTGAAGAGCGTTTTTTTGCAGCCAGCCTCTAGCGGCCAGTCGATGAATTACAGTTTAAGTCACTTCCTTGTTGGCTTCACGAGAGAGAGCGGGAGGTTGCCGCTTGAAGCAAACATACACATATACATACACACACACATACACGCACATGTATGTAAAAAGAATAAAATATACTGTATATATATATATACTTTAAGCATCAATATAGACTACAGTAACTGGCGGAGGAAGATTGTTTTGGTCGTCACGTGAGTTGTGCTTCGGCTCCGGCGCGGATGAATCTGATTGAGGCGCCGGGCCGCTGTGATCGTGATTACAGATAATCATTTATCAGCACGAATTTCACTAACGACATCAAAATGAAACGAAAGAAATACGGATGTCCAAAAAATACGTCTTATGAGCAGGTAAGAGCTTATGCCGCTGATGTTTTGACTTCTTGAAATCATAGTTTTAAAATAACGTTAGGACGATTGTTTATATCAGATAACGGTACAAACTATAAGTTGATAAAAACTGTTTATTGGCATTGTTACCAACATAAACACTTATTTGTGAACCAGTGATTCGATGAATCGTGTTTTATTACGCGTACTGAAACAAAACGACCCAATTTTGCTACAAGTTTGATCGCAACATATAATCGTTGTTAATAGTGTTCACCTTCTGTTTGATTGCATGTCTTTAACTAACTGCATGATTTTTACTGTACATTTCTGCCATATGGACATCAGCTTGACCACTGATAAGCTATAAATATGTAGAAACTTTAATTTTCCGTGAAGCTGTTTTGCAACGATTTGTATGGTGAAAAGCGCCAAATAAACTTGAATTGAAAACTAACTTTACTACGGAAGCCCGATCTGAATCAAAAGAATCATGAACCCGCTCCGAGGTCCCGATCTGAATCAAATGATTCGCGATTCATTTAGCGCTTTCGAAACAGTGAATCGTTTTGCGACGCAATGGTTTAACTGATTCCTCCACGGAATAAAAAAGGTAATTGCGACTTTTTAACCTCTCAATTCTCCCCCCCCCCCCCC